CGCAATATCTTAATGGAAATAGATTTCAGATTTCTGAATGTGTACATGTGTTCATATTTTCAAAAAGTATCTGTAGATTTATTTTATGCATCATCATATATAGAAATAACGAAATGATATGCTTATCCCCTCCAGGTAAATGCTGTGTGGGGACTTTTTTTTCAGATGTATGATTCTCACATAAATTTTGAAACATCAATTCATAATACAAGTTCAATGCCTTAATGTTGTCAGTTAACATATTCTCACACGCACACATACATGTATCTATAACATATGTATATATATATATATTAAAAAGTTTTTTTTTTTCTTTTTTATATCATAAAAATAGTTTTAGTATTAATAATACATAACCTGTGGCAGTTTTTATTGTGATACTATGTAAATGTACGCGGAAAAAGTAAACATTGAGACAACCGGCTCCGGCTTCAGATATTTGAATTTCAAAATCAAGACAACGTGGCCGGGAGACAGACTATTTTTTTTTTTTAATTTCAAAATGGGAATTTCACAAGAAAAAACTTGATATTATTATAAAGGCAGTTGGAAAGATTCCAATAATCGTTGATTTTGAAAAAAAGTATGTATTCATCGAATTTTCAATGGATGTTTTATAAGACCCTTCACTCTTTTGCCAAAATGGAGGAATTAAAAAGAAACATTTATATTTTGAAAAATTGTGTTATACGCATACCAGAATTATAGTATGTTTTTTTTTCAAAATTATTCACTTGACAACATATCATTGTTAAAATATATATACTTAAATCTATTGTACAGGAATGCATACATGAGAACCTGCTTTCTGTGGATCTATATTTGAAAAGATAAATTGCGGGAAATTTCCTTTTTTATACCGTCAGCCATATGGCTAGAGAGGTTATATATATCACATGATACGGTCAAAACGTGCCTAGTTGAAATAACGGTTTTGGACCCTAGGTCACTTTGGACCAAATCCGTTTCTGGACATTTGGAGTGTCTGGCTGGCTGGTGCGCACGATAACTCTCGAAGGGATTATCCGATTTGTTCCGAACTTGGTGCATCGTAATATTTTTGTCAAACTTAGGTCGAGTTCGGAGATCGGCAATATCGGTCGGCCCCTCTTCAGGCGCCTCTCCCACAAAAGGTCGAAATTTTTAAAAAATATATTTTCTGCACAGAAAGATAAATGATAATCCTAATATTTGCAACAATGCTAGGTTAGGTGCAAAAATGGACAATATCGGTCCACTACATCAAGTACCTCCCCAACAAAGGGCCAAAAGTTTGAATAATTACAACTCTTATAAAATGTGATGTAACGTTAACGTGGAATATATCGGTCCACTCCTTCTGGTACCTCCCCCACAAAATGTCGAAATTTTTAAAACGCGAAATAAACATCCGATTCCATTAAGACTTGGCACATCTAAATATTTCTATCAACACAGGATCTGCTATAAAGGCGGTAGCGATTGGAACATTCCTTCTGGTAATTTCCCCACAAAGGGTCCAAGTTTTGAATAACAAAAACGTTTATCAAATCCGAAATAAGCATAAGGTTCTCTTTATATTTCACACATTCCATTATTTCTTCTAACACAAGATCTGTTGTGAAGATGGGATACATCGGTCTACTCCTTCTGGTACATCCCCCACAAAGGGTCAAAATTTTGAATATCCATGGAGTTCATAAACGCGATTTTTACATCCGATTCCATTTAGACCTGGCACATCTCAATATTTTCATCAACACAAGATCTGATATAAAGTAGAGATCGGACTTTTTCTACTGGTACCTCCCCCACATAGGGTTCAAGATTTTGAGAAACCAAACGCTCAAAGTAAGTCAAATAAGCATTCAACTCTATTCAAATTTCACACATACAAACACCTTTATTTAATTAGGTTCGATATGAAATGAACAATATTGACCCATCCCCTTAGAACTAACTCCATAGAGGGTCAAGATTTTGAATAATCGTAAAAAAGTCAAAATATATTTAAATAATTAAACATTGGCTGAGGGTATACGCCTGTCGGCAGAACGAACTGATACTCTTTAACTTGTTTTAAATATCGAAATATATAAACGAATATTGATATAACTGTATAACTATAACTGACTCTCGGTCAATGCCCAGATACAACGGCTGAAACTAGAATCTTGGTAAAGCTGGATTTTTGGAAAATATTACTAAAAGGATACAAAAAATACTGAAATCAAGTTAAAATTGAATTCTTTGTATTGGACAAACGGAATGAACTAGAATTCAGAAATTTGCAAAAAGGAAATTTGAAAATTCGACCTTTAAGACTACGAAAAGTTCTGAAATGGTACTTAAATGGTACCTTTTGGTATTATGTGAACGGATAGCGTTAAATTTGAAATTTGGTATGAGAATCAAGGTTGGTAAGTAAGTTTGATATATGATATATACTATGGCTGCGAACTGTACAAAAAGGTACTAAAATTGCAACAGGTTCGTTTGTGGTGAACGGATGAAGCTGAAATTTAATATTGGGGTCCCTGTTGGTTCTAGGTTTGGTATAAAAATGTGGTTAAATTTGGCATAAAAATAGTACTATATTTGATACAATTTGGTATTCGGTGAAGAAATAGTACTTGAAATCTGAAATTTGGTATTAAGGTCGCTTTTAATGTGTTGCTTGGACATATGGAGGTGGTTTCGGAAATTGTGTACTTAAATTGTATATCTGTGTTTGAGATTTGGCGATGGATTGGAAATCCGTCCTATATTTCTACGAAAAGTAATAAATGGTACTACATTTGGTATTGGGGAAAGGGATAGCACTGGAAACTTCAAATTTGTTATTGAGGTCACTGTTGGTGAAATTCTGAAATTTGATACTGAGATCGCTGTTGGTTTGAAAAGTTTACATATGGAGAAGATGAAATAGTTTTGAACAAAAAAAAAAATTGGATGTAGGTCCATTGTGCAGTGGTTTTAATAATATCCTCCTCGGTAAACTTCAAATGAACGATTTTGAAGACTTTTTGGTGCAAAAGGTAAAACATGAATAATATATAGAAACTTAAAAATCTTAAAATTTAGTACGATCTATGAAGTTTTGATTACATTTGTTTTGTACATTTCGAGTATTAAAAGGTCTTAGCCCGAACTGTTGGAACGAATCTAAATTTTAAGGTGGACTTATCGCTGACGAAGTAGCTGACCCTTGCTTGTGTTTAAATATATTCTTTAATATTATTTATTTTCTATTTTAGGTTATGGTTTCAAAATTGAATAATTGGATGAGCAATGTAAGTATTAAGCCCTTTCTAAGCAAATTTTATCTTTACAAATTTTTTTCTGAATCAAGCTATATCAGCCATTTTGAAACTCGTTCTATCAAATGTGTCCCATGATATAATTAAGAAGGTTTCCTCATTTTCCAGCTCAGAATTTTCTATAATTTTACATCATTCCCGCTTGTGATTTGTGTACACATAATAGATTTATGAATACCGACTTTCGCAATGGGATGTGGTCAAAGGTATAATTTTGAAAAAAAGTAAACGTATGATTTATCCAATATTCGCCATAGTCCCAATTTAATGATACCATCGGATCTTAAGGAAATCGCAGGTTTGGATCTACTTTCAAACCAAATAAGTTGTAGAACATTGACCTAAGATTTAAGGCATTAATCCTATTTCCAAATCGATTTGATTACAATTTTATGTTTTTTTACTATTTTTGTTAATAGAAGATGTCAGAACCAGGTCAGTGGATTCAAGCTATTTTTTTCTCTTTTTGTTTGTTCGTCATTCCGTTTGTAACGTCTCGAAATATACTTTTTAGACCCCACAAGTACATATTCTTGATCAGTATAAAACTCTATGTCGATTTAGTGATTTCCTTCTGTCGTCTATCTGTGGAAATCACTCTAGCTTCCGAACGAATCGAAGTAGGTTGATAAAATTTTACTCAGATGAGTGTTTGTTCTGCAGGAGTTTTGGTATTGAAGCTATTGAGGCTATATAGGTCTATATAGGTCCACGTTTAGATATAGTCCCCATATAACTGTACCTCCCTATATTCAGTATTTTCACGATTTTAATTTAAGTACTACAGCCTGTGACAGAAACTTGTCTATGCAAGTCCAGGTCTTCGTATAGCCCCCTTATATCGGTACCTCTCTATATACCGTATTTTGATAAATTTAGCTACATTATTCACCGGATTTTTTTTCAAGTTTCGTATTTAAATATTGTAATGGCCATGACAAAATTTGGCTTTGCAGGTCCACGTCTTCGTATAGACCCTAATATAAAAACAACTCCCTATATTCGGTCAAACGAAATTTTTAACGGATTTTGCTTTTATTTGAAAATTTCCAAATTCCTTCCAAATGGTGGAGGGTATTTCAAGTTCGGCCCGACCGAGCTTACTGCTTGTTACTTGTTTCCAATTATGTTGGTTATTTTATTATTATTATTATTATTATTATTATTATTATATATTATTATTATTATTATTATTATTATTATTATTATTATTATTATATTATTATTATATTATTATTATTATTATTATTATTATTATTATTATTATTATTATAATTATTATTAGTATTATTATTATTATATATATTTTTATTACTATTTTTTTTAATCTTAAGGGAATTTATATCCAATTTCGTATGTTGAGGTTTTTTGCTGTTAAGTAAATATTTTCAATCTAAAATTCTGATATTTCTTGCAATTTAAGCCAGTCAGTGGCACCCAATATACCCTTTCATTAGCTTCAAAGATTAGTATTAATATTAAAACCAACTTTTTACCAGAGATTTATCTTTTCTCGGTCCTCTCTTTATTTGTGAAATAAAATTGTCTGTAGGCTCGAGGTCTTTTGAAATTTTCATTCTACAAAAAATAACTTTATAATAATTTCCCAAAAAAAAAAAAAATATATGTTTTCTGAATTGTTTTTGCCCATAATTTAAATATCTATTTTAAATTCAAAAGATAAATAAAATTCTTACTTACCATACAAAACAGTTAAGACTTTTAGCTTTTCCAACGGATATGTGACATAGGCATAGATGAAGAAGAAATGGAGGGCGAAAATCATGATGATGTTACCCCATTTCAGTGGTGCATCGAATTGAATGCCGAAAACTTTGTCACCCTTGAAATTTTTGGTGTACTCTTCCAAGTCGACATGATGTTTCTGTTCGATATTTTTCACCTCACCATCGACGGCCGAGACCAACGGTTGGCCATTCTTGGCGGGGAAGCCGTTGGCAGCTGCTGAACTTTTGCCATTGGTGGTAACACGATGTTTCAATTCGGTTTGTTGTTGTTGTTGTTGTGATGGCGAAGACATTGAAGTTTCAATGCTGGTGGTACTGCTGCGATCGGACATTGCTAAGTGACCCATGTTGTTGATGTTGGTTGGGTTTAAATAATGGTGAGGATGATGATGGTGTGTGAATGGTAGTAGATGGCTGTTTTGAAAAATTAACACTTTTTTTTAAAATAAATCTAAGTTAAAAATTATTTTTTTTGTTTTTGGTACAAAATTTTCAAGTCTTTTTACTGTACCAAAATGTAAAGTTACAAAATGCAATAGGGTTTTTACGTTGATGGACTAACATTTGTTTTTAGTGTTTTGGGGTAGGGGAGTTGGATTTGTTTTTTTTTTATTATTTTTTTTTTCAAAAGTAATTATAAAAATAGTTTTATTTAATTTTCTTTATTTTTTTTTTGGTTTATTTTTTTCTTCACTTCTCTTTTCACTTAAGAGTTATATCTCTTTTTTGTTTAAATTTTTCGTTTTTTTTTTTTTTTTTTTTTGGTGAAACAAATTTACTTTTCTTCTTTTTCTTCTCTTCTTCTTTAACTTTGGTACATACACGATTTATATAAGTTGATGAGTTATAAGTAAAAACCAAAACGTTTTGGTTTTTTCGCTTTAAATTTTCAAGTTTAACATCCGCTTAGGGCTTATCTAACGACCGTTACTCCTAGACGTTTCGCTAATAAATGACCAGAGTTGAAGATGTTAAAATTCATTTCTATCGGCCGAGGAAAGCCACAAGATCGGTTTTAATGCCACTGTCATGCCACAGATACAATGACGACGAACGACAGCGACAAGCACGACAACTACAGCCACAAGCACGAAGCCACGACACACACAGTTCACCTACGACCGAAACCACAACGAAAGCTTAGTGGCTGTACGACCCCAAGCTGCTATTCTTTTGTGTGCGAAGAATTTCGACTTCAAAAGTTAGCTGGCGCACCTGTGTGCGTGCGTGTTACCCCATGCATTTGTTAACGCGTTAATGTTCATGCATACAAACATACATATGTATATTACTCATACGTACACGATTGTCTGGGTTAAACCACAACTTCATTTCAACCAAGTCCAGTGTTGCCATTTTCATTTGTAAAAAATGCTAATGAATCGAAAAACACGTTGTTATGTGGTTGCCTTATGGGGGGTTTTCCTAACCATCTCCCCGATTATGATCGGAAACATACCAAGTACGTCATTCATCTTAAAATGACGCATATGGGGTGTAAAGATTTCACAACGAACAGGTCGTTTCATTTGTATTCAATAATATCGCCCAAAGTTCCAAAATAGCGCATCTACACATAATGATGTAGGATAGGTCGGAATCAATAAGTTTCCTTATTTTATTTCGCAAAATAAAAAAAAAATACAAAAAGTTGGACCGAGTCAAACCTGTGATACCCTCCAGTATTTCGAAAGCTGTATTTTACAAAGAATGTCTGTAAGTTTTGACACCAAGTATATATGTTATTCGGAATTTGCTATACAAAATGTAAAAAAATCCGCCAAAGCTAAAATAGTCATAAGAAATTACACCTATTACGAACTCCAAACAGCAAGCTTGAAATAATTATATTGAAAAATGTGATATAAATCATGTCAATGCCGAATCCACCCGATATTCGATACATTTATATTGATGATTTTTCCATAAAGAGAACATGGAATCTCTGTGAACATTAAGATGTTGCCAATACATGCAAATACCGAATATTGAGAGCAATGCCAAAATTTGGGCATATGTGTATATTTTTTTGCAAATATACGTATATATGGAGGCTATATAGAAACCCACTCAATTTCGTTCGGAAGCTTTGATATCATCATCACACCAGATTCTGTGTTGGAAAAAAATTGGGATGTGTAAAATTTAAGAGAATCGAATGTTTGCTTCGCATTTTATAAATGTTATAATTATTCAAAAATTTCGACCAGTTCTGCGAGAAGTACAAGAATGATTGAAGCGCCATATATCATCTCCACCCAGATCTTGTGTCAATAAAAATATTGGAATATGTGAAATTTAATGCGAATTGAATGTTTATTTCATATTTTGAGTATTATGGTTGTTTAAAATGTTGACCTCTGTTGGTGAGATACCAGAAGGAGTAGGCCGATGTATTCCATCTTCACGCCTGATCTTGTGTTGATTAAAAAATTGAGATGTTGCGAGTTTAAAAGGAATCCTATGCACATTTCACCTGTTATTAAGTGCATGGTTATTTTAAATGTTGACCCTTCGTGTGGGTAGAAATATTGAGATCAGGAAAATTTTAAGACAATTGGATTAGGTACCAGAAGGAGGGGACTGATATTTCCCATCTTTGAACTTGATTTAAGTTTGGTAATAATATTACGATGTGCCCAGATTGAACCGAATCGGGCATTTCTAGAGTTGTCGTGGGCTTCAGCCAGACACACCTAGATCGACTGCAAATGTCCCCTAACCACTTTCGATGAGGCACGTTTTGACTGCAACAAATGGCAAAGGATATAAAGAGTTTTTACGTTCGGAAACAGTCGAGAGTCAAAATTGTATATACATATGCACAAAAAATAAAATAATGTTTTTCAACACAAATTGAAGGCGAGGCTGCTTTCCGATTCTCTTATTTAGGGATAATTAAAAAAAAATCTGAACCAATTTCGTCAAATTTTGTCAAGGTTATTTTAGGCATTATCTGATATATTCTATCTAAAATTGTCATGAAGTGTATACTACGGATTTAACATCAACATTCTTCTAGAGGCTGAATCTGAAACGCATGTGAGGGACTTCAAACCCCAAATCGAATGAAACATATACAGGATGAGATGAAAAAAATGCAACAAACTTCAGACTGCTGTAATTTCTAAGCCGCCAGAAAAAAAGTTATTCGTGATGGAATTCAAGCTTAACAGTGTGATTTCTTTAAATTTGGCTGGAAAAGAATAAGTGACTATCGTTAGAGCACTCCAGCATTTTAATGTGAAAAATCTTTTGTGTCTCGTACCATCGCTCCTTACCGTGATACTAGTAGTGGACTATACTAGTGGACAGTAGAAAACAGCAACATCAGCAGAAATGGTTAGAAAAGTAAATGGGCTCGGGGTAAAGCCACTGAAATTCCAAAAAGTGTAAGAACATACACTGCAACAGAAAGAAAATAGATTCAAAAGGGCTACAGAGTTGCTTCGCTTGGTCGAAATTAATGAACAGCCGAATTTGGTTTTCTCCGATGCGAAAACATTCGTTGTCCAGCAGTTTGTAAACAAACAAAATGATAGTGTCTACTTACCAAAGAGGTCAGCTGAAAATGTGCACCTTCGGTTAGTTACCAGAACTCAAGCGCCGGCCATGGTGATGGTGTGGGCCGCCAACAGCCGATGGTGGCTCTCCGCTTGTATTAATCAATTGAAAATATTTTGGAGGGTATATTAAAGTCTTGGGCACGCAAACATTTTGGCTGCAGACCTTGATCAAACCAACAGGACTCAGCACGCGCCTACCAAGAATGGTACAAAATTAGGTTCCTCGCTTCATTTCCAGCGCACAATGGCCACCAAAATCTCCGGATACCAATCCGTTGGTCTATTGTGTCTGAAGTATTTTGGAAAGCAAGGTTGGCACTAAAAAATACCAAAGCGTCGATAATCTCAAGCAAGCACTTCGCTGGAAGCGAACCAAAATGCCGCAGAGCAACATTCGGACAGCGTGTGATGGTTTCATTGGCCGTTTGAAGGCCATAATTCGTGCCAAAGGTGACCAATTCGAACAAATCTAAACTTATTCTAAAAGTTGATGCTATTTCCGACATTTTTTGTTTTCATTCAATAAAATTTAAAAAAAATGTAAAAATTATGGCGTTTGACTTTGTTGCATGTTTTTTATCTCATCCTGTATATGGGAGCTATAGCTATATCTAAACCGATTTTCACCAAAATTTGAAGCACTTGCTTTTATGCTGAATTCCATCGGAAGTGCTAAAATTCTGTCAATGTATGCTGACATTAGCCATTTGGTGCACAAAAAAACTGAAATCAGATAAAGATTTATATGGGAGCTATATCCAAATCTGTTGTAGAGTGCATATTACTCATATGAGGGACGTTAACACCAAATCGGATAAAAACATATATATGGGGGCTATAGCTCTATCCGAACCGATTTTCATCAAATTTGATGTACTTGTTTCTAGGATGAATTCAGTTGGAATTGCCAAAGTACAGGTCATTTGGTTTGATATAAGCCAAAAAACCTGAAATAGGATAAATATGTATATATATGGGAGCTGTATCCACATCTAAACCGATCTTGTCCAAATTTGAAATACTTATGTTTGAGCTCCATATGTTATCTGGCACCAAATATCATTCTTGTGGACTGCATATTACGCATGTGAGGGACTTAATCATCAAAACGGATGCAAAATATATATGGGAGCTATAGCTATATCTAAACTGATTTCCACCAAATTTAATGTACTTGCTTCTAAACTGAATTCGGTCGTATGCGCCAAATTTGAGGCACAATTAACACGAAATCGGTTGAAGATACGTACGTATGGGATTCTCACAAATTTCAATAAGGTCCTTTTTGGAAAATTTCATCTCAATCGGATTATAATTGCGACCTGCATTTACTTCACAAAAATACATCGACAAATGGACGGACACACATGCATAAATCGACTCAGTAAGTGAATATATGAAGATCCTTAAAAGTAACTTCGGCATGTTACAATCAAATGCACAAATACATAAGACCCTGTGCCACATTGTGGTGTCGGGTATAAATACCCCCTATAAATAAGAGGGTATTTATATCCGACAAAGGGAAATATATAAAACAAATATGCCAATAATTCGCAATAATTGGCAACCACGTTTTACACCAACATCATCACTCCAACTATCTTTGGTTGTGTGCGTTAAAACTCCTCGTGGCAGCTTTTGTAGCACACAATACAGACACAAAAAACAAAACTATTGTCACTGAATTGTAAACATTACCACATTCAACATTCGGTATTCAAACGAATTAATTCATTCACCTGTTCGTAATGTTTTGGTGTTGTCGTGTCGGCTAACTATCTGTGGCTTAGTGCCAATATCAAATAGTCGAAAAACTTTCATGCGAATTTGCACGGAGTCGATTTTCTAAGATAACGATTTTGTTTTAGAAATGAAAAGAATTTAAATATTATGATTTTCATAATTTATATTGTGTCGGCCAAAACAATGTTAAGGGACTTTACAAAGCCCTTCAAATATATTGTCCAATCTGAAACATAGAACTCTTACAAGTCAATAGTTTTTTTCTTCTGATGTTCTAATTTGAATAACGGGTTTTGTGGCGACTTTTAAATATATATTTAAATGAAGTATGCACGTTATCGGCTCGTGGCTCGAACACATGTATGCAGGCCTGAAGAATTTGTGAGACAAATTTCCTAATTTATAAAAAAAGAAATATTCTCATAATTTAGCAACCACATTTTTCATTCATGAATTTAAATGAAATAAAAATCGTAATTAATTATTATTTATAATCTATAATAAACGAAAGGCTTAAAACGATACATGTGATCGGTATTATATTTAATTTTGTGGATAATTTTGTATTCAGTTTTAATTCAAGAAGAAATGAATGACAAAATGAAAGAAATTAAATATATGTTAATTGTTCTGCATAAAACATAAATGATGAATTTAGTGCTGTAGTACATAACGTTCATAG